CTATACTCCCAGACACCGGTGCAGTCCAAGCAAGAAAGCAAGCATCATCTGGCCTCACTGTTCCCATGATTCCAGACAGCCAAGATTACATTAGGAACTGCTCCAAAGTGCACAGTATACAGCTGATTTCCACTGTCAGATTCACTTCACCACACCAAAACATCTTTTATACATGTCAAAGCGTCCTGTCACCCACATTGACAGCAGATTCTGAACTTGTTCTATGAGCCTTGTAGTGACTATGATCTGGCTTTCCTAAACCCTACAAACGCCATAAAGCTCTGTTTTGAAGAAGTCACCCAAACCCCATTAACACATCTTAAACATTGAAGAAGCTTACTCTGCCCTCTTCTCAGTTTTACTAGCTTGTCAGACCCATGGACCTTGCGTTGATATAAGTCCTGAATTGAATTCATCATGTCTAAATCCCAACTTGGCAGTCCCCCATTACAGAGAACCCCTTTAGTAACAGCTCAAACCAGCTAATTTGAATCAAGAATTACCACCAAATCTCCTCTTGTCGTCCCCAGGAGAGGGAGGTGTATTGTATCGATGCCCGTTACTATGGCAACGTCAGTCGTTTCATTAATCATCAGTGTGATCCCAACATCGTGCCAGTGAGGGTGTTTATTGAGCACCGCGATATCAGCTTTCCCCGGATTGCTTTCTTTGCTTCACGTGACATCAAAGCACAGGAGGAGCTTGGGTAAGATCTCCAAACTTTTTACCCATATTTCAGCCTATGGTGTTTCCATGGTTAATGAAAAGAAATTTCCCAAGTCATAAGTACATTTCAGACATGTTTGAACATATTTGTCCATTTTTGTTCTATTCTCAATTTGTGTCATTTTAGGTCCCGATTCTTCGAATTATAATCTGTACAGTTTTACCCTTCATGTAGTTGGGCTCACTACACTCCAGGACCTTAAGCTGTATGAAGTATTTAAATCACAGTTCTCAACTCCAGTGAACATTTTGCCTTTTACATGTCTTGTTGATCAGTTAACATCAGCAATATTACAGAATCTTTTTATTTGAAATCACAAACACATTCTTCAAAATGTTTTAGCTGTATAGTTTGTAAAATTTTAAATCCTAAATTTCAGGGGTTTTTTTCATACCATCATTCAAAACACAAATTCTTCAGGTATATTTAATATTTTAAACCAATTGAGCCATAGGCTGGTAAGCTAATGAGTTTATTTTTCGATAATGACTTTCAATATACACAGGCCTTCATTATCATATAGATGTATCTTGCAGACAAGATAAGGTTTCTGGCAGTTATCCGCTATTCGATGTCTTAAATCCCTCTTCGTTGTTTTCAGTAATGTTCCCTCTCTTGAACTGTCCCTCCAGGCCAACTATAGCATCCCCAGTTTACCCTCTGATGAATAAGTCATAGGTGTCCCGAACAAATCGTAAGATTGGAGCAGTGGGGGAAAACAGAAAGGAAAGGTGAAAGATGCTGGTCCCGTTGCCATGAGGTTTGCTTTCCATCAAAACATGTTAATGTAAAGCCTGCCCTCCAGTGCTGAAGTCACACGGGAAATCTGAAAAGTGTTTAGCTTTTTTGTCGACCACTGCCAGGAGTCAGTCGGTGGTGTGTCTGTCCCATCTTCACAGGAGCAGGAATTGCTCAGCTCGGAACTGCTGTGAAAACAGACGGTATTCATGGTTTTTTTTTTTATTTATTGGGAAAAAGGTCTATTTTGTAGCTAAATATTTCCCTGGGAGTCGCACTGCAGAGGTGAAATAGTTGCCGAGAGACTTGGAGTCTTCAGGGCTCAATCAGAAAATTCAAGCGTCATATTTCAAAGGGTGATCTACTTTGAGCTGGACAATTTTAGGTAGGGATCAACAGAAATAGGTTACGAGTGTCACTTAAAATCAGTGCTTGAAGGGACAGTGTTGTATGACTAAATTGTTGTATGAAATATCAAGTAATATAATGCGCTTCACCCCATGATCTGCACTCTGTGTTCAAAATGTGATAGCACCAGGAAGTATAGTAATCAAAAGAGCTGTATGATCTCCTTATGGAGGGTTACATGGAATGGATTAAAATTAACTCACTTGGAAAAGGCATATTTTCTTACTTGCACATAATTTTTACTTCTTCTCGTACTGTTTTTATTTTGGAGTTTCAATGCACCACAAGGTTAGAAAAAAGAAATAAAATGTCTAAAAAACTAAATGCAAAGGCAGCCTTTATAAATCTGAATCCAGTAGGGTATCTCTGTGTGCAGTTTATGCTACAGCTCTGTGTATCTAATCAGAATTGGTAACGTGGTTTGGAGTTTTTACAGTTCTTTCCAAAAAGTTGACCTTTTTCAGTCATTCGTAGTAAATGTTTTGTTATTCATTTCATTATTTTTTGTCAAAGGAATGGTCAACGGGATGCAGGAATGACACAGTACAGGCTAATACTATGGAAAGTTTGATGAATTGTTGAACTCTTTCTGGGATTTTTATTAACACCCCCACCCCAATTTTCCTTTTCATAAATTCCTCTCTATCTGTAAGCCCTCATCAGTACTCGGATTCAAAACATCCCCCAGGCAAAATGTCAGATGTGTTCACGCTCTGCTCCTGGCAATAAAGAGAAAAGTGAGATATGTTAAAATCCCCGGAATATTGGGAAATGACAAGATCCAATTAATCACACAAGGGAGCACAAGATCTTAGTGCAGCCTCTGGCCAAGTGTGCTGTTCACTTGTAGTTCACCAAATGAATGATTGATGATCTCATTTGAAAGGTCAAATATTACTAGAAATCTGCTGGCAGTTTGCCCATCCCCCATATTTTCGTACATCCTTTATAGTCACAAACTTGTAGGAAATATTAACAACACACAAAGAGGAACTGTACAGATTCTTCTGGAAAAGTCATTCCTTGACAACAACTGATTTGGGTGAGATAAAATTGAATTCAGTTAATTTTAGGTTTGTCAGTAGTACCTGAGAACTGAAGAATCTCTCTTTATTTTCCAGCTTTGACTACGGGGACAAATTCTGGGCAATCAAATCCAAGTTTTTCACCTGCTGCTGTGGATCAGAGCATTGTAAACATTCTGAAGGAACCTCAGGCAGTGATGAAGGGGATCCAGATAGCTGAAACCATCCAGGATAACAGGTGGTGTTTGTTCTCTCTGTGTTATCATCATTGTTTTATTAGGTTCCTGATTCCAAAGAGGTACTGCTGAGCACAAACTAATACTCGGCCAATTGTCCACTCAGTCTATGAATCTGAAGAGCACCAGTCCAGGGCAGGATGTCGTATTGAGGTTTGGGGCTGGTAATCTTTTCTTGCTGAGCAGTACTTTTCAACACTTGGCAGAATCGTATGCTTTGTAGCTCTAAGGAGCAAAGTTATTTCTGAAGGTATGATTTACTACTTTTATCTGGGAGAATTTCTTAAGTACTTCAGTGTTTGTAAACTCTGATAAAATTTGCAAAAAATCCAACTGGGCTCGAAAGAGATGGGTAATAGTTCAGTTCTCTTGAGTTTTTGGAGTCATTAAACCACCTTTTACACCTTTGAAACAGTTTCCAATAAACCTAAAATAAAACTCACTCTGAAGAGATGTCAGGGATAAACAGAACAAAGTTGAGAGAAGCATTGGCTGTGTGAATAGAAGCAACAAGAAAAACTGTCTTTGACTGGGAATTGTAAACCCTTCCAATGTTGTCATTGCGGGGTCATCTAAATAGAGGATTCGGTTGGCAAGGTGTTTTAGGTTGTGAGTAAATTGTGAGAGTTCCTTGCTGTGACTGGCCATTTTTATTAGAATTCCTTCTTCACCCACTAGCCCTCACCCACTTTGTGCCTTGCTGAGCCAGAAATCGTGACCAATCTTGAAATTTTTTATCCTTTTTGCAGTATTACCTACATTTAAATTGTAACACCACACGTATTTATGATGTCTGTTCTCAGATGGGTGAATAAATGATTAAATCTTCTCGTAGGGAGTCAGGCAATTATAAGTCCAATTTGTACCTTTTTTAAAACACAATTCTATATGACACATTATTTTAAAGGTGGTTACTGTAAAGAAAATGTCTGGTCATACAAAAGGAGAAATGAAAATCAAGTGTCTAATGGCAGTCTTATCATCCTGACAGTTGAAAGTTTGTCATTGTCTAAAAATTTGTATAACCCTCAGAAAGTTTGATGAGGTGACATGCGAACCTCGTACTTACTAAGCCTTTTTTGTCTGCCGCCTCCTCCCCTTAAAAAGACATTTGACACTGCCATCATTTGGCACTGCCATCATTCGGCCCATATTTGTTACATGGATTAGCTTATGATGGGACCAGATTATTCACAGTCAACTGTCAATGTCCATCCTAGATAAAGCCAGTACATGTCATTGAATGACGATTGTCGACCTTAAATACCGATGCTCCTCTACAGTTTCCTGACATGCAACTTTCCTTGGAGATTGAAAACCAACTATGCAAAATCTTTTGGAACATTCTCTTTTTTGAATTCCATTTTAGATGCCTACCTGGTAAAGTATAGTCACTCCTGTCGCTCCAACCGTAATGTTCAAATCGAATCCACTGCTGTAATCAGCAATTTGATACCCTCCACCATTCCTTTCATTGATAATATCCATATCTTTTTTATCATACAATTCTTACTGCACATGAACCCTCTTCATCTTTTTCAGCCGGTCGTTTGCTATCTCTTACATGAATCATTTTGCCAAGCATTGATTCAGAAAGCCTGTGTAAACATTCATCACTCAACTCTTATAAATGTACAGTATACACACTTGTTTTCTCAATCCAGACTTATTTATTATTTTTGCCCGCACTGGACACGTATTAATTTTCACGCAGAGCTGTGAAATTTATCATTGATACCACATCGTATTCACGAGCGTGTGCCGCTGCTTTCTTTTCATTTGAGTTAAATATGGCAGTGGATTGCAGTAATGTCTTAGCAAGCTGGATAGCTAAATATTATTCCAAGGGCAATGACCATCCGAAGAGAAAAGAAAAACTTATTGTGGCACATTAAAAGAGGGGGTTGTTTCTTGGAATTGGAGGATTCAGGAAGAATCGTAGTTAGAGTTTGGTGACATTTCAAAATCTGGTCTCTTTTTAGTGACGCTCTGTTAACGACATAATGAAAAAGCTGGGCGGTGATTGTGTTTTGTTTTTCAACTTCCAAATAGTCTTCACCGCTTGAGGTATCATTCAGAAATTAAACAGCACCAGTCTACCCAAAACTGGTTCCTGTACATGTGGACACCAGAAACTCAGATAGTTTCATTAATTAATCTGCTCTTTTCATATTTTGTTTTCTCATATGAAGCACAATGTATAAAAATAGATTTTTTTAATTTGCGAGTATATGTAATAATCAATAACAAGCAGAAAGGTCAATCCCTGATTTTTATTTTCATTTATTTTTTTTTAGTTGTTACTGACGTCAGTTCTGTACTTAATCATTATTTTCTCACCACATGAAAGTTAGATGAGTTTCAGCGAAGTGAATGAACACGAAGGATTAGCGAATGTGACCTAGCGACTTGTAGTTTTCATCTCAGGTTACATTGAGCAGGAAATGAACTTTTCGGTCTTTCTCCACTCGGAGGAAAAAGAAATGGCTTGAGGGAAAGAATCGTCCGCATGTAAGGGAAGTTGGTGTCTATGGTATTGCTGATTTGTTCTTTGACAATCAACCCTCAGGTGATTTTGTAGTTAACATCACATACTCTCTGATTGTCGGCTCGCGCTTTTCTCTTCTTACAATCTCACAGCTGCATGTCCACATGCCTGGCTATAGGCGTTGATTTCTTTTCTTTGAAGGGTCATACTAAAATATCCATATATCCTTTGAAAGACGAACTGGAATTCTCGTTGTTTGTTGAGATTCCTTCTTTTCCTTGATGTGTTTTTGTGCAACTGGTTAATTGTCATTACTTGTACGTTTTACGTATGGCAGTAATCCAGTTGTACGTTACTGGGTAATGGTCCGGTTATTGACTTTATTGTAATCTTTAAAAAATATGAAGGGGGAATTAAAATGACCTTCCAGTTTTAACAACATTTTAAGTGGTAAAATCAGTTATTGTTCCTTTTTTATGATTTTCACAAAAGTGGAGGATATATTTTTGTTGCTTTGAAGAATTGGACTTGTGTTTTCCTGAGAAGGCTTTTATCTGTGTAACGTAGAGAGACTAGTGCTGTGATTCGATCAGTTATATGGAGCGTGCTGTAAGAATAAAAGACTTAAAAAGAGTTTTCATGAACGAGTTAGCTGAGCTATTTGGAGAATTGGGATTGTTTCATAAAATGTCTTCTTAGCTTTAAATTGAGATTTCGGAAGTCTATAAGGCCAAAATAAGTCTTGCGTTTCTGTTTTCGATGGGGGTACGGTTGAGTAATATGTACAGCAAAGGAGTCCCTCTGGTTCCCCATACATTTAGTCGGGCACTCTTTTATAGATGACGTCATTTCTGTATCCCACAGTGAAGGAGTCCCTCTGGTTCCCCATACATTTAGTTGGGCACTCTTTTATAGATGACGTCATTTTTGTATTCTACATGGCCCTTTTCCTATACTCCACTTGGGCTCCGTCTCAGGCTTCGTTCCCAAAACCAATCCCCGATTGTGGGCCTGAAGCGTTTAAATTAAATTGGATTACTGTAATTTTTTGCTTTCTTGCATCTTATTTGATGTTTTGTGGCAGTATTAGACTAATTACTGTGCTTACAGCTTTAATGTCAGCTAATTAAAAAACAGGTGAAGCCTGAGACGGAGCCGAAGTTAAGTATTTGAAAACGGCCCATGTACATCTGGGAACTAGACAAACGAGGTGGTCTTATGTCCTGTGTACATGTACAAGCTGAAAATGCTTGTAAACAGTAAAAAGTGTGGGGGGGACAGTCTATTTTAGTGTTGGTACCGGCCGGCGTTACGTGAGCATTCAGTCCGGATAGACATCGCTCGTAATTCGTGCGGTAAATAATTCCAGAAAAAAAGGGATGGTTAAAAGAAAAAATCCGCGTCGCCGCACCACTTTTGAAGCCAGCTCCTCACCGGATACTGGAGACTTTTGGGAGGCCCAAATCTGATATTGTTTAGCCAATTCCAAATTGTCTCTTATTTTGTTCGATTCAACCAAAAAAAGGTTTAGTTTAATATTTTTCTAGGCGAAACGAAAAAAAAAAAACAGCTCTGCGCTTGTTTTCTTATGATACCTTTAGCACGTATTTGACACATTTTTCGTTCCTCCGATGTGATAGGTTGAATGGAAGGGTCATATTTGAGCACAATGTACTCCCATTATCACGCGTTTTTGAATTGCGCATGCACTGTAAATGATTGTTCACGTATGTTTCACCCCCCATTCAACGTGTGGAAATAACGACTTAACCATGCGCGGCAGTTACTTGACCAAACCCGCGTGAACCATACGGAAATGTCCTTAGCAACTTGCCAATCCTCTGTTGGGCCTTCTCATTTTGAAGACTTCGTTTGCACAAAGTTAACAAACGGTTGCATTGAAAGTCTTTGTATGTGCTCTAGAAGGCTTAAACCGAATAAAACACTACAGAACCATGAAAAGAAATGCTACATAAATATGAAATTTATCCTCAAAGTGGTTGCTAAGATGATAAATTCTTTCCATTTTCATTCGATCACTCGGTCGTTTTTTCCACTAAATTTTTCAGTTTTAGAAGTTTTCCCAGAACAGTGGGACAATGCATACGACAGGCCAGAATCTCAACTACACAATACAATCAGTTCTATGTAGCTAGATTTTTGTTCGACTTTCATGAGTTATATTTGATGCTTCTGCACAGCGCGATCTGTACGTGTTTTACAGGTACAAAACCGATCCAGCCATGTACCGTGCACGGTACACTGTGGCCTGTTAAGCGCGTACCGCAGCGTACATTGTATGTACATGTACATGTATATGTATACATGTACAAGTGGATGGAAATTTTCGACGGAGCAGGTGTACATGTTCATGTGGTCCATACGTGTATAGTACATGTCAAACTGGGGATACATACCGTGAATTTTACCATTTTCCTGGCAATTTTATAATGACAGATAAACTTCGGTTTCAATAATAAACTTCATGTTAACTTTCTGTACGTCTGAGTTCGTCTCTCGTTCCCGAGTCACTGAATTCTTACGCTCGCAAGGCCGTCAGATTGAATATGCGGAATGAACGGAATTGGTGCTGAATTAGGTTGATATGCAAACGCATCCGGTCGGGAAGAGAACAAATCTAGCGCAAAACCGTAAGCAAATCTAAAACCTTCACATCTTTTTCCACAGCAGCCAACTTTTGAAAACTGTAGGAAAACTTCAAATTCTTTGTTTCGAGCCTTCAAAAATCGCATCAAAACGTAAGCAAACTACCGCTCACGAAAAGAGCTTTTCGCAAGAATCACTAGTTTGGACCATTCTGGTACTATTTTTCAATTTTTTTTCCCACAAAACACGTTAGGAAAAGGCCTTATCTTACCATGGAAATATTTTGGGCAATTATTTTTCTTTCCCAAAAGTGAAAACAAGACGCAAATTTCATAAAATGAAGAAGTTGTTTGCCTGGCACGAATTCCCATGGCCCACATTACGCATGCAAAACCCTACAAAACGGGGCATGCGCAGTTAATAATTTCCCTCTGAAACGTGTGTTTCTCGCTTTCTCCCATAACTACGCATGCGTGTTACGGCGCTGTGCAAATGCATCACAGTTCGATCTCGTCACGCCAAGATATCGCCACCCGTTGTCAGTATTTTCGTCGGCTCGGTCGAGCGAGCGAGGCACACCAGGTTGTATCAAACCGTTGAAACCTACCTACATATACCTTCGTCGTCCACCGACGCATATGAGTGCTGCGTTTCTCGGGGAGAATTGGCACGACTAACAGGCGTAATAGACATCGAAAGGTTATTAAATTCTCGACTGTTTGATGGTGTAACGCACTCCTAACCGAACTATAAACCCCCCGCGGGTTGGCGTGAGATGAAAGACTCAAGAGTCAAGAACATTCTGAGGAGCTTGGAAAGAGACGGTAATTCCAAGATACAAGTCAACGGCGAATGATGAAATTTTTCACGCGCAGCGCGTATTAATGTGCATCTTTCTCCAATGGTTTATCACTGGGAGGCATACAGCTAGTATTTTATTAGTTCAGAAAGTGAGGTGGTTGAAAAAAAGTGGCCTTGCTTTGGGCTGGAAAATCAACCAAGTAACATCGATTGGCAGTCACCGAGCGTGAAATAAGCGATTCAGATTGTGAAAAAAAAACGCATAATGATGCATTATGCCTGCATTTTGTGGATTGAAAGTAATAAACTTCTATTTTTTCTGAGCCACTATGGCCATTTGGATGGTTTGGGGCATAGTTTATGGGAATTTGGAACCACGACATAAGGTTGTTGTGTATTGTTTTGTCTAATGAGCCAGATCGTTACTTTAAAAAGCTAAGGTCTTGCGGGAAGAAAGCGCGCGTGTGGCTATACTGATAGGACCATTGATCTCCTTGATGGGTAGGACAGATTATTGCGCTCGCGTGTAGCTGTTCCCGAATAGCCTCATTGGAATCCGAATAAGCTCATTGTTTGCATTTCACTAAGTTCAACCTGGAATAGTTCTGTGGCGCAGAGTGGAATTCATTAATCCTTGCACATCAAAGAGACGTTTCCATGTTTAAAATATATCCCATCCTTGTAATAAACCTTAAAAGTGACTTATCCGATATAATCTCGGCTGTATGCCAAATTATCACTCAGTCAGGGAAGCTGAAGGTATTAAAATTAATCGTTAATAAAATTTAAATCTGTATCCTGATTACGTCAGGTTGCTAAATTAAAAATGCGCACATTACATCGCGTAGTGTGCGCCACAGTTTATCACCAGGCAAGATCCCTCACCTGTTGTAAAACAAGAACATGTAATTTCGTATTCAAGCAGATTGTGATAAGTATTATTAATATGATACGGAACAATTTGCTTTGGGGAATCTTGGGAATTTTGATAACGACTCTTCCAAGATTAGTTTCTCAGATTTAAATCAGAGTCGTGTGTCGCTGATTTCATGCATACTTTGTGTCAGACTATGTTCAATCGCTGATTTCTATTAATTCAAAGCAAACATCTATGAAATCCTTTATGCCTGTAAACCTTTTTCTCCCACGTGACTGGATTGCGCTAAATGTAAACAATACCATCGCGTGTGGACCGCCTTGGCCACGGTGATTGCATATTCCTACGGGCAACTTCAACCACGTGTGAGCGCACGTGCGAACTCTGCATAGTTGACTAGTTTATTTTGAATAAGTAGATTACCTTCACAACACTATGCAGTCGTTACCATCACAACACATCGCGATCCAGCACGATTGTGCCATCACAGGGAAAAGTTCTATCCAGTTCGTAAGTGTGACGTCACTTCAGTTTAAACCACGCCCATTGCGCATGCACTGCACATAGAGTTACATGCATTGATCGCTGTTTACTTGGAACCATGGAACCGGAAGTTAACGAGCAACTTCAGCGATTGTCCAATGGGAGCCTGCATATCGTGGCGCGTCCGCTATTGTGACGAAGTCACGAACCGGATACGGTAGAATGTTCGTCCTGTCAAGGTAAACAAAAAATATCAGTAATTAAGGCTATAAAGACACCAGTAAAATATATATCGATTTAGCTGTGGATGGGGGGGGCTTACACTAAAAAATAAATAACGATTAAAATGAAAAAAAAATGAAAAACATAAAAATATGGCGTCCTGCAAGGGTTATCAGCAACAACGTAATACACAGCCTATATGTGTCCACCTGTCCGCAACAATCGGACTTAAAAAATGTTGACAGGCCTTACCCTCTACCCCCACGATTTCAGAAAATTTTAACATCCAGTGCTTATAATCCGTCCTGGTTTTGAATTTGTGGTATGCTGTTTACCGTCCTGCCTTCGCATTTCGAATCCATTCACGCTCTCGATTTTGCTCTTGAATGTTCACACCGCTTTTCTGTACACACACAACGCCTCCTGGATGAACACTGAGAAAACCAGAGCCATCTTAAGTCAAAATGCAAGGACTAAACATAATGACTGGGATAGGCAATAAGTCGCCTGGATAAACCCCTGTCTGAACTCTTTTCCTTGAAGTCTCTGATCTGCCCCCTTGGGCAATTAAGAAATCAGCTCATTGACCAGCATCTCGGACAAATAAAACAACCAAATAGCCCGAAGCTAGTTATATCTTTTATCTTAATCACCCTTCACTTTAACATCATACGAAACCAATCATTCAAACCCTACTAAGCCAGTAAGAAAACATCATCGATAATACCGAAAGAAAGGTAGGAAAATGTTTGTTGAACTGCACTAACACAAATAGCGGGGGGAAAATCGCGCGGTGAATTCTAAGCAGTCCAATTTATTCCTCGGTCTATGATCTGCCAAAATATGAAATCGCAAACACCAATGAACTCCGAGCTGCATCTTATTGTACCGTAATATTGCATGCTGTACACAGCAAGCCATCATCCGTAAACATGGTGGTTTGCCGTCAATAGTGAGCCGAGTAATACCCCGTAATACCCCGTCAGAGCATTTCTGGCTCCCCGCTCCCAGGTGACGTGCCTGGGATTATAGGTGTTTCTAGCGTGAGTAAACCCATAGCCTGTACACGGTATAGGCCCATGTGAAGTCATGTGAAGTTGTTCATCTTCAATGTTCATCTTCACTGCAAAACGGCCAAAATCAGAATATACGTTCGAAGCAAAAACATCCTGTGCAGTAAAATGCTTCATTTCCTCGTTTTAACTTAAAACGTTCATCAACGTTGAGAATTATTTTTAACGCGTTTTTGTTCTGAGGTTTCGTCATTACAAATATCTTTTACAATGTCTCTATGACAACGACTGTTAAGAAGAACATATTGGCATTTGAGGTCGAAATTAATCAGAACCTTGGATTGTAATGTAGGATGCCATTCTAAAAAAGTTGAATGGAGGAGCGTGTCTTTTAAGGTCGTTACTAGGCAACCATCACAATACATAAAGTCTACTATTTTAACTACATGTATTTGCAGAATGACGTGCCTGTCAACTTCCGCTTGGAATTACAAGCCAAGTAGTGCGCCGCCAGCGTTTACTTCTGGCATATTCTCTCACTTAGCAGCCTTCAAAATAAAACATCCTTTAGAGAGAAAAAAAACATCGACTCGCGCGCGTCGAGTGCTGTTTCTGACAGCAACTAAACTGTGTGCCGTAGAGTGTGGGCAGCACGACCAGCTGCCCAGTCTATGCATACTTCTCATTGTCCATGTTACAGCTAATCAATTTACCATTGGACGTGACTTAAGAACTTCAAAAGAGAGACAAAATCCACATGACGGACTGGATGTGGCAAACTGGGATTCACTCGAATTGGATCAACATTAAATAGCCTACTGCAGTCTATTTCCAGTGCCTTCAGCTAGCGTGAGAATCAACTCAGATGGAGTCATTTTCTTCCATATGTCATTAAGTCATTTTTGGTTTCATCATCTCTGCAAAATACCTTTTTTTCACCGGCAACATCAAGGAAACACGAATATAATTTGTTTTCACGTCTTACTGTGATGAGCACACGGTGGTGGACTTACACAACAACCCTGCTCCAATTCCTGGGTAGATTATAGTTTTATCGCTTGGATGTGGCCAAGTCTAGTGGTCATAGCCTGGAGTCTTGAGGATTAACTTGTCTTGCGACGGGATGAGAGCGACAGACCAAGTCCCCTAAAGCTGTCAGGTCCGCACTTTTCACCGGTCTCCCACTCGACCTCTTAGACAGCGGCATTTCTTTGACTCGCTAACCGTTCAACGCTGCTGTGTATATTTTTGCCCGCTGTCAACTGCAAGTGACTTTTTTCTTTCCTTTTTTGGGATATCTTCCCATCGCGTGTGCCTTATAGACGGTGGTTTTCATTCCAATTTCTTCGCGTCTGTGCTGTCCACATGGAGTAGTGCTATATCTATAGACGATGTAACACTGGGTGACACCATTATGTTCAATTGATTCAATTACCGTTGTGGCGACAAATAGTGCAGAAATGTCATTTCAATGATGTCATTCAGTAACCAAGGAACACTGTAATTCCGAGAGTAAGAAGTAACCTATCTCTTGGAGTAATCGTTTGTGTGGATATGAGTGCGTGCAGCGTAGGTGGTTCGTAGCTTCAAGTGGAATACGCGATTCACCGGACAAATATACGTGGATTGGAGATCAAACTCGCCGGTGTAGTACGGCGTAGCAGGTGCCTAAACGCACGGTGAAATTACTGCTTTTAAGACAGTGTATGGTGTCTTATGGAATACTCAGCGAAGCCGGCCCTGACAAATGGATATACCCGTGTGAGACGCCGTTTAGGAAGGTCACTGAAGGGTGCCAAGCTAAAGTTTGGGCTAATTGCGTTAGGTAAGTCAAAATGACATCACGTGTAATATTGGATCCTAAGCAACAAGAAAACTGTATTAATTTTTACACTTATTTACTGTTGCCAGATATAAGGCGAACAATGATGAAAAATAATAAGTAAAGTCATGAAATGAATTTTGCACACGATTTTTTTCGATGTTAATAGGAAACACATTTATGATTAATAGGAAACACATTTATGATGCCCAAGAGCCAAACGTGTGCAATTCAATAGAAACATCAACGCAGAAAATAAATGATGAAAAAATACTGTAATATTTCGGTAATTTCTAAAATGCATTTACCTCGACACAAAATGCAAGTGCGTATTTTACCCTCTGCGATAGAAATATGCGCCATTACTCAAAGGGATGCCAAAGCCATTGAAATGCATATACCTTTTATTTTGGTCAGGTAGATGTGTTTTATTGACAATAAATCTAGAAATCTATATAACACTGTCTCCATTATGTACAGCTGTGCCTCGGTTCTCACAGTTGTAGTTATGCTTCGAGATACGACATGCGATTTCAACGTAATGATAACATCAGATATATAAAAAAGAATTAATACATATTGGGTTGGGTTCAAGGTTGAAACTGTGCCCAAGGCTGTAGATTATATCTTTATAGTGTATCAGAATTTCTCTGCCTTCTAGCCACTTAATTTACTAAATCCAATATAAGAGCGGGTCCTAATGAAAAGCGAACCTGTGTCTGCATTGGGAGGCTACCGTATTGTTTCCCAACCAATGCGACACGATTGTTTTGTTTAATGCTGTTCGCTTCCGGCCCTATGCCTTTCCTTTATTAATTTCTCGTTACAAATATCGGTCGTGTCTAACAGTGGTTTGTTCCACATATATTAATTTAATATCGTATCCGATAGTACGACAGGTTTGGCCTTCAGTATAATACCACATCTCGTACGTCATTACTTAGTTCTCTTTTCTCGGGAGAGGACCTAATACTATTTGTGGAATCATTTTAATTTGGACTGTTGGCTAACCGATTCTTCGGTAGGCCACTCAACTCCCTGTTAGATTAATTACAAATGATTCATTTCATTCCTTTAAGCAATGGCGATAATGGATAGACGACCTTAATTATGATGCACCGTGCGTCTCTTTACAGAATTTTTTTAAAGATCCTTCTCGTTGTTTGTCGTTTTCGTTTTGTTAGTTCTTTTAAAATCACTGTATATTAAATTCTTTGTGTTGGAACCTCACTGGACTTCATAATGAATTCGTATTATTTGCATCATAACGATAATTATTAAAATTTCATGTCAAGATTGGCGTAAAAGTTGCATGCAGTGGTTTATATTCAGCAAGCACTTGCCCAGATTTGCCACATTTTTTTCCTCACAAATTGGGCCTTCTCCTGCAGGCACTCGCTTCCTTCCACAGTCTCCGTAGATTTTAAAGATGGCCTCTCCCAACATTCAAACAATACCGTGTATTGCGGTCTAGCACCCAACCCCGTATTTCCAAACAAGCCTGCACAATCGAAGCACCGGTGTGACAGATGTACGACAGACACCACGAGTACCATACTGAAGCGTATTAACGCAAACAGTTCTCTAATCAGCATGTGGAAAGCCTGCAGCAATGTGTTATTAATATTTCCGATACTTCAGATAGAAGACTTATACAGCTGTCACAGCCGCTTATGGGTATGTTTTAATAAGTCCTGCCTGTATACTTACCGAAGGACATTTTGGGTGTCGAAGAGGTCAACAAGACACCGTATGCGTTCATTTCAAGGACTGTCGGGTGGAGATTCCCATACACGTAGGTCTTACACCAAATTGATTAGAGTCGGGTAAAAATAGACAGGCATGAAGACAAAATAACAGATCGGTGAACAGCAAACAAATCAATGAAATTTACAGCAACCACCATTTTATGCAAAACAAGAAAACACCTTAATGTCAACACTTCATATTATGTCAGTTATCCAATCACCTAGTCCAAAGAGCAGATATACCAATTCCATCCTAGAACCTGTATCGAAGAACCACCCTCAGGATGGCCCGTAAATGGATATCTTTAACGTCAAGTAGGTCACCCCAACCCAACCACCACCTTACTCAACACTGGACCAACCATCACCACCCTTCCAACTCACCCATACCTAAGCAAAGCAACATGGGTAGAACCGAAGAAATGGGGGGATCGGTTTGGCGAGTAACAGTGAAGAGGGAGGCTTTACCACAAACAGATTGGAATTTTTGTCCAGTACACCGTAACTTCCACCATTTACTTCGGTTGTCCGTTTTCGAAAAACCGTGTCTTCATAAGCATGCCAAAAGTTAATGACTAACAACTTTTCCGTTTCTTTAAAAAGCAAAGACAAATCTTTCAACAAAAACAATGCAGAATATGCTTGTGATTTCCAAAGAATTCTATTTTGTGGATCGAATACATTCACAAAACAGTCAGAAATAAGTTGTTGCTGGCATATACAATAACGCGCATGAAACATTTTCCTTAAGCAAAAATCAGACTTTCGACTTTAACAGAAGCATAAATTTCATAATCGGAAACATGACTCAGGTACTTTGAAATCTACTTCCGCATTTCACTTTGAAAGATGTTTCCACATTACATGTATATATTTACGTTATATAAAAAAGCACGAACGAGGCAGATTTCCGGCATCTATGCAACATGTTGACGCATGTATGTGCGTGACCTGCTTGAAACACTGTCGGTAGCCTGCTTTCGTTTACTGTGCAAATTTTAATTTGGAGCTTCAAAATGCATCTCACCATTTACGTTTTCCACAGTCAACCATGCGCAAATGTAGTAAGGGGTTTGGGATTTTGAGTTCGGGATTCGGCAGAAGAAACTTGTGAATGGGCTTCGTAGACGTGAGGACCTGATTGGGTAAGGAGGTTACCATGTCGTTGTTACAATGTACGTGTGGCTCGGTTGGGGCTTGTTCCAGCGACGAGTATTTGGTAGCGTATCCAGCAAGGGAAGGCAGGGGAGCCCGGGGGGCTTTCTTTTCCCCTTTCCTGAGACATTTTGCCATTTTTAAGGAATTGAGAGTGGTACTACGGCCTATCCGGTCAGGGTTTAGGAAGATTGTTTTAAGGGGGAAAAAATCAGACAGTCATCAGTTCTTCAGATAATTTCCAGTTTGCCTCCTTGAATCCAAGATCCAGGTATGCCACTGTGAATGTCAAATACATACTCTAACACAAGACTTTCGTTGCATAAACCTAGTATGTGAATTCCAAATATCAAACTAAGCACACACGTTCGTCGCACTAACCTGTCTAGGCCTAAATGTCAAATAATTTTTATCCAGCTGAACCGATACATTTGCTGTACAACCATGATTTGAATGTCAAATATCCAACATCCGACTAAATCCATCGAAATCGCTTTACAAACTCATGTAAATGTCGAATTTTGATCAAACTACACCAAACTATACAAATATCGTTGAATATCAAATATCAAACTAACTTAACGCTGTTATTGCTATAAATGCTCTGACGTGTTGCGACATTGCCGGGATGATGTGCATGTAGGAAACCTAATGACATTTATCTTATTTCGTCGAAATAAATCGTTTTTGTGCCGAGTGAAGTAGACTATGCAGGGTACATTTAATTAGATTGTGTGGCATTTTGGAGGTAGCATCGAGTTACATAATCCATCAGGTGTGTTGCAACTCTTTTATAATGACCACTGTCACACGGCGTGCCGTGTAACAGTGTAATGCGTGATCTGACTAAGCATTATGTTTCCCAATGGCAATTGAGAGGCATAATTTGCGCAATATAAATTAATTTTAGCTGCAAACATTTCCCCTGAACCTACTCACTCTCTGTTTCATCAAGAGACGTCATCACTTCATATTTAATTGATCAGGTGCCAGGGGCGTATCCAGGTTTTGTTGTCAGAGGGGGAGGCAAATTCAAAAGCGAATGCGGCTTCTGACTCATTCCACATGATAACAGGGAAACAAATATTAAAGGCCTATATTTATTTAATAAAAAACCGAATACTTTCTTTCCTACTCACCTATGAAGTATTTTTAGTTTTAAAAAAATCCGTCAGAGGTGCAAGTTACCATGCAAGCCCCCCCCCGATACGCCTACCAGATGCGTTCATTTCGACAGAACTTATCCATGAAATTCTTGACATTTTCAGGGGAGTTATATTTTCCCTGAAGTACTATGTGGAACGAACAGAATTGAATCGACAATTGAATGTACACTTATAAATAAATTATTTTAATGACATCGCTCGGGAACGAAATGGAGCTTGTTTTGGGTTGTTTGTTTCCATTCAAATATATGTATACTTCACGCTTACTATATATACGATTTCCAAAAGGTTTTGTTAAAATCACAAAAATCTGCCTCTGTGTGACATTGTTTCAAATAAATTCAAAAGAATCTGTTAACGTTAGATTCAATCAACAGGAAGTCATTTCAAAATAGTGTTCATAGGCGTACGTCTTCACCAAATTATTTCAATTGAAAGTAATGTCCGTTTTTCAAATATTTGCCCGTCTGTAAAATCTGTGACCGGAGTAGTAAACGTGAGAGGTATGTCTATCTAGCTTTAATTTCGACAAAATCATGTTATCACTGGTGTAATTATGAGTTAGAAAAGGCACCGATTTTAGACCCTCAAAATATAATTTCACTCTTAAATTGAGCATATACAAGTGCCGTAATTGATCGCTAGTCTCTATTTAGCTTCTTTAAAAAAGAAGTCCATTCAGTTTCTTTTCTAAGTTTAACGGGAAAAGCTTCCACTAAGCAAGTGCTACATCGCATAACAGACCGATTATGCATAGTTATTTTGGCCTGTAAACATAAAACCTAGTCATTGATTCTTACTCTTTATAATTAGGAAGACAACCTTCGTTGAGTACATACATTTTGCTCAACTTTATTCAATAATCACTCCGCACTGCGTCACGCTAGCCCCTACGAACATCTATAGAGGTGCGGTGAATAACAGTGAGCGTCTA